GGAGTATCTATCTCTACAGCATCCACATTTCTAATTGCAGGTGGAGGTAGTTTTCCAGGATGGCCTGTGTTCTCTGGAAGCAGAGTCACGTGGACTTTGACTCTTTACTAGAGGATACAAGAACTAGGACCTTCAGAACATGAATAGTGGTTGTGTCCACAGACTCTAGTATTAAGAGGCTCTAGCTTCAATTTCCAGCTGTCATAATGTGTTTGGCTTTTTCGTGTCCAAAACTCAATTTTTTCATCTCTATAACGGGGCCAAAGCTATCTAATTTTTTTTGTTTTTAAGTACATCTTTACTGAAATGAAACATATATAAAAAGTGAAAAAATTGTAAGTAGTTTGATCAAACCTTTACAAAATAAAGAGAGCTATAATCAGAACAGCTATAACTAGCAACCAGATCAAAAATCAGAATATTATCGACACTCCAGAAGACCACTCTCTTGCCTCATTACAGGCATACTCTCCAAAGGTCAACTACCCTGACTGCTAACAGCACCAATTAATTTTGCCTGCTTTTAAACTTTCTATAATGGGATTCATACAGCGTGAGCTCTTTTGTGTATGACTTCATTCTGATTGTGAAGTTTATTCCTGCACTTGAATATAGCAGTATCTTTTTGTTTTAGTGAAGTACTCCATTTGGGGGTTATATACGTCATTGATAAATATTTCATATATCAATATTCATATCTGTACCTATAGTCAAATTAGTTCATTATTTTGTTAAGCCCTACTATGCTGTTCCTGATAATTTGTCTAGTGGTTCTGTAACTGAGAAGGTGAAAGTGTTAGTCCCTCAGTCCTGCAGCCACCCCGTGGACTGTAGTCCTCTAGGCTCCTCTATCCAACGAATTTCCCAAGCAAGAATAGTGGTATGGGTTGCCATTTCCTTTTCCAGGGGATCTTCCCAACCCAGGAACCGAACCTAGGTCTCCTGCATTGCAGGCAGATTCTTTACAGGGTGGGCCACCAGGGAAGACCACTGAAAAAGCTGTGATAAAGTCTCAGTTACAATCTCTAGAGTCTACTATGATTATAGTTCAAGTATTTCTCCCTTAGGTCTATTTTTGCTTTATATATGAATGTCCACATTTGCGTCTGTGCTGAGCCGTGTCCGACTCTTTGTGACCCCATAGACTATAGCCCACCAGGCCCCTCTGTCCATGGAATTTTCCAGACAAGAATACAGGAGTGGGTTGCCATTTCTTTCTCCAGGGGATTTTCCCGACCCAGGGATTGAACCCTCATCTCTTGACGTCTCCTGCATTTGCAGGCGGATTCTTTACCACGCTACCTGGGAAGCCCTAATTTCTTTAAATGTTATTAACGTCCATTGTAAATTACAGCAGATTGGCCAATTAATACCCAGAACACTAAAAATAGTATTTAACACTAACTCAATTTAACTCAATTTAACACTAACTCAATTTTCCTTAAATATATACTTAAATCAAAAGTTTGAATAACTGTAGCTTATAAAGAAAACAAAGCTTTCATTTCTTGACTTAAGAACTTGAAAAGCCCAGAAGCAGAAGCAAACCAAAATCAAATAAAGTCCTAAAATGGTACAAACCCGTAAAAGCCAAGCAGGTTTGCCAACAAAGCTCCGCCTCCGTGCAAACCCTGCCCACTTCCGGCTGCCCCACCCACTTTCTAACACTGGAACACCGCCCCTTTCAGCGAGGTCCCGCCCCCTGCACCTGATCCTGGTTCCCATTGGGTGAATCCTGCTGCTGTATACACACCCTACACACGCACATTTAGCAGGGCCCTCTTCGCGCCTGCGCAGCAGGGTTGTCAGGCAGCTAGAGACTAGACCCAGGGGTTGGGGGGAGGGGGGAGGAGGTCAGGCCGAATCTTCCTCCGTAATAAGAAGCTACGCGTCCCGCGGTCCTGGCTCCGTGGGTCCGGTCGGATCGGGCCTGGGCGCTGGAGCTGCTGTGGCTCCCACCGCGACGGGTGCGATGGAGGCCGTCTCGGAGCCCAGCGCTCACGCCGGGGGAGGCCGAAACAGCCGGCGGTGCTAGTAAATGAGGCGGCGGCGGCGGCGGCGGCACGGGCTCTCCATGAGCAAGCGGCGGCGGCGACGGGTGCGGCGGCACCGGCGGTTTTCGGTCCCCGGGGAGGTACGAAGAGTGGGCTTCCTGGTGGACTGAGACTAGCCGGACGCCTTCCGCGGCCCGGCCCTCTCGTCCAATACCCGCAGTCCCAGGCGCTCAGCGGGGCCACTGCTCGAATGCGAGCAGAGGATGCGCAGCCCCTTCCCCGGGTCCAGGTTCGGGGATCCACCCGCAGTCCAGGGCCAGCCTTCAGGGCCGGGCCTTCCCGGGAGCTGCGGGCCGGGGGCGGGGTGGGCGGAGCGGAGGTGGGAGCCCACCGCACACCCAGCCCCGCGCTGCTTCGAGCCGGACCGCGGGGCCGCTTTCTCGACTATTTGGGGGCGCTGACTCGGGAGGGAACCTGCAGGACCCCAAACTCTTAGGGTGTCTGGCATTCAGTGCTTTGGGTAAATGTTATGGTCCTCACGACCAGCGTGGAGTAAAGATTGTCACCCTTGGAAACGACCGCAAAAGGTGTCGTTTTTTGCCAAGGAAATAGAAGTCTAGGGAGTTTTCCTGGGTTGTCCAAACTAGGGGGCCTATTGAGGCAGGAAAATAAAGCCAGTAATTCCCCAGGACTTACAAATCATTGTCTAACGAAACGATGTTTTTGACAGTGTGGCGAAAACTTAAAAGACAATTTTAAGTAAAGTGCTTTGCACATTTTCTGGTCTTTTTTAGTCGCTTTTATCGTAATTTACTTTAGAACAAATCACCACGGTACTGCATAAGCTAGACTAAGTGTCCTTTAGTTCTTTCAATGCTCTTTTATCTCCTTTTGTTTTCCCCAGAAAAAGGCTAGAGAAATCATTTTATGTGTGTGTGTATATATTTTTAAATATATATATGTAGTTAGTTATAAAATATATGTTTAATTCTCTTAGAGTGCAACTTGCTTTACAGAGCAGTACTCATTTAGTCATGTCTAAAAGATAATTTAGCAAAAAATACTACAGAAATTTACAGTTCCTTTCTAATGCAGTATTTAAGAATCTGAACGCAGGCTCTTAATCACATGACCTTGCTACAAAGTTCTTTAAAATGCCACGGAAATCAGTCAAACCATGAGGAAACGTTATTTTCATGTTTTAAATATTTAAATACCTTGTGATTTTTTAAAAGAATATGCTCTGAAACATTTCTTCTTCATTAACCAGAAACTGAGTTTGTGTTTCTTTGGCTCTGAATTTGCCACTCCCTCTTATTCCTAAGTGGTTGACTGGAGCCAGCATGCTAGCAACTATATATAAACATCTACACTTCAGACTAAATATAGTGTTGAATATTTTAGAGTCCACAGTATCTTGCCTAAGTCAGAAATACTGTGTGTGTGTGGTAAAACTGAATTTTTAGTTTGCTGGCGTTAGAAAATAGGTTTGAGCTTAATTTTCCATACAAAACACATAGGTCTGCAGCATTGAGTATTGGATTTATATTGTACTTGGTAGGATGTGGCACTTGAAACTATGATCAAAATAAGACACTGACTTCAGTCACTAATTTCTGTCTTCCTCCTCAGATGCTTCCTGTTTTCATGAAAATGCAAAACATGAAACATATTGGAAAACCCTGTGATGTTTTTAGTTTAGACATTTGTTTGTTCCAAATAAAGCAAAGCAATTTTTTTCAATTCAGTTTCATTAGGACCTCATTCTTTAATTTTTTTCAATTTTGCTTTATATACATACATATGACACCAACATGTTTATTAGAATACTGTCAATGACTTTAAAACCAAGCTGTTAGTTATCCTCAAAGCTGGGGAGAAGATAGGTGCCCATTTAAATAAGGAGGACACCTCAGTTCATTCCCAAAACATGCAGAGAGAGGAGTCAGGGTAATGAACCAAGTTCGGAACCAGATTGTCCCAGCATGGCCTCTGTGTTTAAAATTATAGGATATCTGGCATGGTCCTTCTCAGGTGGCGCTAGTGATAAAGAACCTGCCTGCCAATGCAGGAGATTAAGAGACCCAGATTCGATCCCTGGGTTGGGAAGATCCCCTGGAGAAGGGCATCGCAAACCACTCCAGTATTCTTGCCTGGAGAATCCTGTGAACCGAGGAGCCTGGCTGACTATAGTCCATAGGATCGCACAGAGTCGGACACGACTGAAGCAACTTAGCATGCAGCATGGTCCTAAATTGCAAGTGAAAATCCCCAAGTGCATAGAAATGATTTTTGTATTAGCTATGCTAATACAATTAAGTTCTCACGATTACAGTACTCTTCATATGTTGTCTTTCAAAGCCAGTTGGGCTTTCTCTGTGCCCCAACTAAGAATTCCATTGTGTCAGTTTCATAAGTGGAAACATACATATTAACAAGAAAATGAAACACAGCTCATATTTTGGAGGAAGAGGTTTACATTAGGAATGTACTCAACCAAATTTAGACTGTATCTTTTGAATAGTTTTGTTTTTATTTAGGATTTTTTCATTACAACGTTTTCCTCTGTCAGTGATAAAACCTGCAATATAACCAATGATAATTGGTTGGATGGCATCACCAACTAGATGGACATGAGTTTGAGCAAGCTCCAGGAGTTGGTGATGGACGTGGAAGCCCGGCATGCTGCAATCCATGGGGTTGCAAAGAGTCGGACACAACTGAGCGACTGAACTGATAATTAATAAAAAGGTCCATCAAATGACCATTCTGTATTTCATAAAAAGGTTACAACTTCTTAAATGGTCTTTCCAGAGACCATGCATATTGCTGAAAAAATGGCTTATGGCTTGAATTGTTTCAAAATCTTTTTGTTCCTTTAGGAGTCTATCTAAGCAGACTTAGTTTAATCTTTAGATAGCTTTATTTTCATTTAAACATATACCATGCATTTAAAAGATAAAGTCACAAATTTACAAGGACTATCTTAAACTTTTAAAATGCAGGATGAAGACACTGTTTGAAGAGATCAAAGCATCAATTAAAAATAACTATAACCAAGATCGCTCATTTTGGAGGCCTGTTCTTCCTTGGGGAGGTGTTTTTACTATCAAAGCTGGCCGCAAAGCAGTCTCCTGTACGCCACTCTATGTTGAAATAAGACTGAAAAATACCTGCACCATAGATGGATTCTTGATGTTACTCTATGTCATTCTCAATGAAAATGAAAATTTCCCCCGGGAACTCTCTCTTCATTTAGGTAGAGAGTTTGTAGACTGTTTTCTTTATTTAATGGACACCTACAGTTTTACAACCGTGAAGCTACTTTGGATTTGGGACAAAATGGAAAAACAGCAATACAAGTCTGAAGTTCATAAAGCTTCATTAATAATTGATTTGTTTGGGAATGAACATGATAATTTTACAAAAAATCTTGAAAATCTTATGTCAACCATACAAGAGAGTTACTGTTCCAACTGGCGATGCCCCACTCGAGTGCAAGAAGATCAGCAACGCACAATTAATATAAAGTAAGTTGCTCTAAAGTTTGTTTTGTCACTTTTAGCAAAAGTAGTATGCTTATAATGCATGATATAGATAGATAGGAAAATAGGTAGATGGATAGATATAGTCAAAGTACTTCTTAATGTATAGACCCTTTGTGCAACAACTTGTATATAAAGCAACCAGGCAAATGCAAGACTCTTCAGTGGGTTCCATGATAAAAAAAATATTACTCTTCTATTATATCTAAACATCTCAGGATTTACAAAACCAATTGATAACTATTTCACTTGCTAAATAATGACCTACTCAGTACGCACAATGTTTTCCTCTCACTCAGAATTTACTAATATGGCTAGGAAGATCATTCCTTGTGTCACAGATTTAACCTCTCCAACGACACTTAATACTGTATTGAAATGTTTCCCTCTCTGAATAGATCCCTGTCAGGTAGGCTAGTTCTACTTGAACAGGAAGATTGAAAGTACTCCATGTCATGGCCAGGGCAAAATTAGAGACAGAATCCCAAAGTTGGGAGTATTAATACCTGAAAAGGATATAGATGTAAGGAAAATTTTTATTGGCTAGAAAGGTACTGATAGCCTGCTGAGGGGAGAAAAGGAAGGTCTTCAAGCTGGTAAAATGACAGGGAGGAAGGCCAAACTGACAAGCCCTAGTGGAGTATTGGGAAACATTAAAGCCCCAAGGGCACATGAGCTGGAAAAGAGATAATTGCCAGTGTGGAGGTTGGGGGTGGGTGGGGGGGGGAACAGGACAGAAAAACAGATCCAAACACATTTTTGTCAGAAAGCATACTTGGCCCTGAGGTCCAGGAAAAAAACTGCCTAACAGATTGTTCCCTTGTGGGATTGTACGTCACATACCCAAACTTATTATATTCACCTTTTCTGTATAGCATATTTAGTTTAAGATTATAATATTATATTTAGGATAATGGGAAAGCAGAAGATCTGTTATTATTTTTAGAGACTACCAATCAGTGTTTCTCTTGTTCTGAAATACACTTTGGCCATTTTGCTGTATTGCTGATAGGATGATGTTGATTTTGAAACTTCCATCAGGGAAAAAGTTGTTACTGTTAAATCATTATGGACTTTAAAAAAGTGCTTCAGAAGTTTGTCTTGTTTTTTTAAAAAAAACTGGTATCTTTTAACTTACATATGTTTTGAAACTATAATGAAGTATTTACAGCCCTATATTAATACTAGCATTTTGTGCCTCTCTTAATAAATATTTTTCATTATACTCTATATAACTTTAGTATTTTCCAATCCTGTATTTAAAACAACCTCTGAAGTATGTAGGAAAAGTTTTTTTAAACAAATCAGGAAACTGAGGCCAACAGGGGCTCTCACTACCACTGAGTCAGGTAACTAATCAGCTGCTCTCCTAATTCTGGATCCTGCTTTCTTACATCAGGACCAGGATCCACTCTCTTTAATCCTCTCAGAAATTTTGAAAGTAACAACTGTGTGTTTCAGGGTCAGTTTACATACATATTTAATGTTTCTTAGAAAGTTTCATGCACTAATGTTTATTAAGTTCAACTGGTTTCTGTACTGTCTAGAAGAAATACAAAGATGAATAACAAAGGTTATACTTTCATATGTGCTTTACTAATAATGAATGGCTTGTAAAAATTGTTATCCACATAATATATTTGGGCTTTCCTGGTGGCTCAGCGGTAAAAAATTCACCCGCTAAGCAGAAGACATGGGCTCAATCCCTGGGACAGGAAGATCCCCTGGAGAAGAAATATCTACCCACTCCAGTATTCTAGCCTGGAAAACGCCATGGACAGAGGAGCCTGGAAGGCTGCAGCCCATGGGGTTACAGAGTTGGACACGACTTAGCAACTGAGCTAAGCAAACGACTTACTATATTTACATGTAGAATGCTGAAGCATTTCTTACATGCATTTTGCAATTGTTATAGTCCTCCCCAAGAAATTCCACATGGAAACTTGATACGACTGGCTGTGGATGAGTTATTCTGTTCCAGGATTGAACTGTGTGAAGAGCGTGGGTGAGTATATGATAGACATTTAAGATGAAAGTATTTCTGTGTTTCTTATAAAGAAACCTGGACTGGTATGCTTGTTATAAAACAGCAACTCATAAATGTTTAGGAAGCCTAATATTTTTGGAATCTTAACACCTTCTAGTTTACAATACCATTTTATGCTGTGCTGCAGTTGCTTGATGAATACAAAGCAAATGCTTTCCCCCACCCCCCCACTCCTGAGTAGGCACAATAAAACCTTGCTTAACTGGAACCCAGCTAATCTGGACCCTCAATTAACTGGATTTTTTCCTGTTCTCCTCATTTATGTTCAGTTCAGTTCAGTCGCTCAGTCGTGTCCGACTCTTTGCATCCCCACAGACTGCAGCACGCCAGACCTCCCTTTCCATCACGAACTCCCGGAGTTTACTCAAATTCATGTCCATTGAGTCAGTGAGAAAGCAGTAAATGACAACCAAAAAGTTTAACCTAGTTAAAAAAAGAAAAGAAAAAGGAAATCCAAAGGAGCAGAACATATTCACCCCAGCCTCTTAATTTTTATATCTATAGTATTATACAAGGAGAATTAATATTTAGAAGGATGATCTTACACCTAATTAATCACAAAAGAAGGAAAGAATAAAATACCTTCAGTTAATTGTACGTAAGTTCAGAAAGTGAACTAGGTGTATTTTCGCAACAAATACTGAAACAAAATGGTTTTCAGATAACTTAGTTTAGTCAGTGTTTGTCAACCAAACTACTGTCCCCTGAGCCTTCCAGTTAATTGAGATTTTACTGGTTAATTGTATTTGTTTTATTTTAATTCATATGCTTAATACCTGACACTACTAGGAAAACAGAATCTGCTGCATCGTAATGGCAAAAGGAACCAATCAGGGAATTTTATCCATTCTAAAGAAGACTGTAAGAATCATTTTATTGCCTCTCTGCCATTATTCTCATTTGAGACCAGCCTAGAGAAAGAAAACCTTTTTTCTGAATAAAAACTTTTCTATCAGTTCAAAAGACTCCATGCTTTTATAAGCTGAGATAAACATAGCTTTCCTTGGAGTTTTAAAAATGTCATTTTCTTATATATAGACTCTCTTAGCTTATAAACTCTGAGACTTAGGCATATAAGGTATTAATGCAGCCATGCAATTTTCCCATACCTAAAATAGATAATATGCTTATTATGAAATTAAATGATAAAGACAACTCAGAGTGATAAAAGGCAGCTTTGTCTCAAGTATAATAAAGTTCATGCCTATTTTCAATTTTAGGTGTGGTGGCTTAAGAGAATTTTCCCAAAGAGTGTTCTGCCACGGGCCACCCCCTTTTGTTGTCTTAAATATGCAGCATTGGAAATCTGAAGATCTGGCATATGTCCCCTATTATTTGGATTTATCTGATCACAAGTAGGTGCTTTTTGTTTGTTTTACAAGACTAATAAGAGAAGTTTATTTATATTTTTCTAGTATTCTACCATGATTTTGACTAGCCCTTAAGAAAATACATATTGTTTAAAAAAAAGAAAGCTATCTCTAAATTTACGTATCCTGAATAAGATCAGAATACACTAGAGGGAGTCAGTTGCTGGCAATGTACCTGGCGGTTAGGTACTTAGACTATAGAATAGACTGAACTGGGTTCAAATCCCAGCCCTACCTTTCAAGCATGTGACGTTGATCCAGTAGCAACCAGTTTACAAATCAGTTTTCTAATCTATAAAACAGAGATGATAGTGTCTAAAGTGTTTAGGATAGTACCTAGGACTTAGGAAATAGTAAATACTGGCTGGCCATTACTTGTATTTCAGGCCAAAGTCGTGTATACTATGAGGTCATTTAAACATAAAATATTACTGTCATAGTTAGATTAAGATCCAAATTAGGATATAAGGGGTTCTTTTAATTTTTTGCCTTTAAACATTTTCTTATGTTTTCTCTTATATAATAGAACCATGCAGTTCATGAGTTAATCTATTAAAATAATGCCCTTAAAAATGTATCATTTTTTAAAATTCTTAAACGTCTTACTCCAAATTATCAATTATAGTACATGATTTTTACAGATGAATGTCTTTTTTCAGATAACAGAATGCAAATAATCTTATTCCTTAGTTAAGAATGTAAGGAGTGTTTTTGTAAGAACAAAGTATTTTTTCTTTTCTGTGATTTTCTGCCACACTTTGTCATTTAATTGCAGGTATTTGTTGGAAGGTGCCACATTGTTTAACAAAGAGGAACATCATTATTCTGCAGCCTTTCAAATTGATGGACATTGGATGCACTATGATGGCCTCAGAAATGTGAATTTAATTTTGTTAAATAAACCCCCAGAGTTTCTCCTCTTGTCATCATTGGTTTATATTCGAGCAACAGAGAAATAAATATAGACTGATGCTAAATTATATTGTTTTCCCTCCTGCCCATGCTCCCCCAGATGAAGGGCTTTTGTTTTGTATATACTTGGTATCCAAGGAAATAGTTCAACTATATTAGTTTCAGAGGTGTATTTTCTAGTGTTTAGCCCCAGGTAAAAGTTTTATATAGAGAATCTATGCAAAAATGTTTGTATTTCTTTTTTCTTAATCCCAGGTTATTTTTATACAAGCATATTTTATGTTGAAATGAAATATATCTTGTAGCATTTGTATTTTTTATTTATCTGTACCGCAAAGGTTTTTTACAATTCTGTCTTTGAATCTGAGAAAATAATTCATCATTTGAATTCTCAATTTTTCCTTTTGGATATCCAAATAAAACCTGGGTACAAATCAGTTTTCAGTTTATGTAAACTTAACAGTTCAAAATACCTGACTGTATTTATTTGCCCTACCTCATTATAATCCAAAGTGCACTATTGGATCTAGTTTGGATTTGAATGTACAACTTAGAGATGGTTTAGTCTATTTTACCTGACTTGCCTAATGTCCCTGCAGCAGTTTTTTTTAAATACTTTGGTAAGAATGTTTCTCTGGACTTAAATTATTTCTTTATAATGGCAAATAACTTCACTTGCTAAAGTGTTAAAAACCTAGCAGTGGATTTTAAGTGTTAACTAAGCTCCAAGCTTAATTAAGCTTATTTTTACTCAAATTATATAACTAATGTTTAAATGTAATAGATGTTCTCTAATAAAAATTTATTTTGCAGATAAGACAGCTATAAAAAGTGTTAGGCAAACTGTATGTTTACTAATGTTGGATGAACAATGGAAATGTACTTTGAACATGTACTTAAGAGAAAATGGGTGCCTGAGAATACAGTTGACTCTTGAACAACTTGGGGGCTAGGGCCCTGATCCCCCAAACAGCCAAAATTCCCCCATGTAACTTTACAGTTTTCCCTCCATACCTGTGGTTCCACATCCTTGGATTCAGACAACTTCGGATCATGTAGTACTACCGTACATGTTTACTGAAAAACATACCTGTATAAGCGGACCCACACAGTTCAAACCCATGTTGTTCAAAGGTCAGTTGTCTTTCTCTTCCTAGTAAGTCACATTGGCACAGAGGAAAAAATACTTACATTTTGGGGGTAACATCTGTGTGCTGCCTTAATAATAGTAAATTGATACCATGAGACTTTCTTTGATTTGAAGTATAAATCCCCGGAAGTGCGTAGTTATCAGAATGTTACGTTTCTTTTCAAAGACCTAGGATCTCTCTTCCTTTTGCAATATAAAGGAAAAGTAATAATGTTCTCAAGGGAAAATACTTTTTGAAATCTATCATCATTTATTTTAGTGTTTTCAGTGTGGTTAACCCTAGGTTTGGGGTTGAGATTGAGTGCAATATATTTGGAGATTTCTATACAGCATCACAATTCACTGCCATTTACCAAATTGCTAAGGTTTAATTCAATAAATTAAGTCTTATATTGCATTGGTGCCATGTTAAGATAACTTACTGAAGAATGGATAAATATAAGTGCAACATTGATGAGTATGCCTTTTTATCATATGTAAAAAAGGAATATTCATTGTGTATGCTCAAAGTAGTGATCTATTTTATTTTTTTAAAAATTCACACCAAAGTTTATTTAAATAGTTTCCGCATGTATTTAAATAGGGTTTGATTTATAGTATACTTTTCTGGGAACACCTTACTGCATGAATCAAAGTATACAGAAACACAAATATTAGCATATACATAAATGATATTAACAAAATTATTCCTGATGCAGATTTATTTTTTTGAATTGCACTTTATTTGTAATAATTCTAGCTTATCACGAAACAGTGACGTACCTACCTCACAGGGTTGTTGTGAGGATTTAAATGTTTGTTGACATCTTGACTACCTTGAACAAGCTAATAAAAAAAAACATTTTTTCTACCTCTTTCATGTACAGGCAAGTTTCCTAGATTCTCTCTTACTAATGAACTTTTCAGATCTTTTTAAAAATTATTTGAGCAGTAGTTCATATCGGTAATGGAATTAATGTGTAGTGAAATTTAAGTATGCCTTCTGGACCCCAGATGATTAGGATTTAAGGATAATAGGTATTTCATTGTTATGGTGGTAATTGAAGACATTATTCCCTCCAAATAGTGACTAGGAAAGGGATGAAAAAGTATAAAGTAAACAAGATTATAAAAAATGTGAAGGTGAGAGTATGGAAAATATTTTATAGCCTTAAACACTATTAAAGAAATTGGAATGCTGAGGGGGACAAAAGGTATGAGGGAATAACCAAAATATGTTTTTAATCCGAATGTCACAAACCACAACTACACCTAGGGTAGAGCAGAAATTATTTTACAACCCTACTTCCATCAAAGGGGGATAAAGAACAAAGCAAATTTAAGGGGAAATCTCCAACATATGGGCTTCCTTGGTGGCTCAGATGGTAAAGAGTCTGCCTGCAATGCAGGAGACCCAGGTTTGATCTCTGGGTTGGGAGGATCCCCTGGAGAATTCCATGGACAGAGGAGCCTGGTGGGCTACAGTCCATGGGGTCACATAGAGTTGGACACAACTGAGTGACTTTGACTTTCACTTTCTCCAACATATAAGTAGAAATCTCCAACTTCTCTTCAAAGAAACTTTACCCTCCACCCAAAACTTAACAAACGACCTTAGATTTATCCTTCAAAGTAGCTTTTCATTACTAATTACTAGGGTTGATTTAACCTAGATTGTCACTGGATCCGATCCCATCAAAGAGGAGGAGAAAGATCATCACCACAGGCATGAATCCTAAGTTCTATTTTATTCCTAGAGTATGAACAAACAGCTAAGCTATATAAGCAGATGATTACTGTGACACATAAAATGCCGTATTTCTTGAGCATATTAAACAATTTAATAAAAGTTATTTGACAATAATTGTAATGCACTATAAGCAGGAAAGGTAAACAGTTCAATGTAAAAATGACAACAATTACTAAAACAGCCTAAGCAAACATCTATAACTTACCATCTTCCTTTATTAAAATCAAAAGTTAAAATCACATAGGTTTTGAAATTCACCTTGACAACTTGATGCCTTACTAACAGTTCCTACCCACCCAACTGGCCCAGGGTTCACCACCTGCTCAACTAGGCAGCTTTTAAGTTCAAATTTAATTCGATCTGAGGGAAAGCAGCCTTTTACTTTATCTCTGGGAAGTTGAGAAAGTTGGTGGGGAGCTAGATGATTTCTTCATCTGCTGATATCTACCTGAGGATATATCTTAGATTATTTACCCTCAAAGAGTCATCAGTTCCATAGTCCACCCATTGTTTTTGCAGTGAAGTATAATACAAGGTATCAAAAGGAGTACCACTGAAAATGAAAAAGTGAGCTGCTCTGGTAAGGCCCTCAAAAACAATAAGGTCTGGAAAACCAACAGCATGGTAAAATTAGAAACCTGCTGTTTGTATGCTTAGCTATATTTTTATTACTTGCCTGTTTTCCTTTTGAATTTTCTAAAGTCTGGTTTTCAAGATTATTATAAAAATAATACATAGATAAGTAAGAAATCAGTAACCCCCAAAAAAGGCTAAAGAAGAAAATTATATCCGTGCTATCTCCACCCAATGGTTTACACCAGTAAAGATATTTTGAAAAATCCAGCTCCGTAGTACTGAATAGAACCAAGGAGTTCAGGCTTTGAAGAAAGAAATGTATATTCCTGGGAACCAGCATGAGGGTGATAGAAATAATTGGCACAATAAAACGTCTAGAAGAAAGTGAGTCTCTGAAGAAAACTGCAGCTGCCACCTATTCAGACATCTCTTTCTACCTGAATACTTGCCTTCAGATGCTTTTTTCTCAAATCTTCAAGAACTCATTATTCTATTTTAGGAAGGATATCATTCCTTTACATTCCTCTATCAACATCTCAAGACTAGTATCCAGGTTCCAGAGTTGGAAAGGAGTACGTCAAGGCTGTATATTGTCACCCTGCTTATTTAACTTATATGCATAGTACATCATGAGAAACGCTGGGCTGGAAGAAGCACAAGCTGGAATCAAGATTGCCAGGAGAAATATCAATAATCTCAGATATGCAGATGATACCACCCTTATGGCAGAAAGTGAAGAGGAGCTTAAAAGCCTGTTGATGAAAGTGAAAGAGGAGAGTGAAAAAGTTGGCTTAAAGCTCAACATTCAGAAAACAAAGATCATGGCATCTGGTCCCATCACTTCATGGGAAATAGTTGGGGAAACAGTGGAAGCAGTGTCAGACTTTATTTTTTGGGGCTCCCAAATCACTGCAGATGGTTATTGCAGCCGTGAAGTTAAAAGACGCTTACTCCTTGGAAGGAAATTTATGACCAACCTGGATAGCATATTAAAAAGCCGAGACATTACTTTGCCAAGAAAGGTCCATCTAGTCAAGGCTATGGTTTTTCCAGTGGTCATGTATGGATGTGAGAGTTGGACTGTGAAGAAAGCTGAGTGCCGAAGAATTGATGCTTTTGAACTGTGGTGTTGGAGAAGACTCTTGAGAGTCCCTTGGACTGCAAGGAGATCCAGCCAGTCCATCCTGAAGGAGATCAGTCCTGGCTGTTCATTGGAAAGGACTGATGCTGAAGCTGAAGCTCCAGTACTTCGGCCGCCTCATGCGAAGAGTTGACTCATTGGAAAAGACCCTGATGCTGGGAGGGATTGGGGGCAGGAGGAGAAGGGGACGACAGAGGATGAGATGGATGGATGGCATCATTGACTTGATGGACTTGAGTTTGAGTAAACTCCGGGAGTTGGTGATGGACAGGGAGGCCTGGCGTGCTGCAATTCATGGGGTCTCAAAGAGGCGGACATGACTGAGCGACTGAACTGAAGTTATCCACAAGAATTAGCAATATGAAATATTTTCTAATTCTCACTGGAGGGAAGATAACTTGAGAAAAATGTGAGATGGCCATAGCGACCAGTTCTCTCTAACATTTCTGGA